AATATCACAGGTGAAAGTTGTGCATACAATTTGGCATGAGCTAATGAGCATTGGACTGATAAATCTGTAGTAGTCATTTAGGGTCCCAATAATACGTGTGAAGAAACTGAACTACACTGCAATAACACCATGGTTACCATTATCCAATCAAATTAATATCACTGTGTGAAACACTGTAAATTTCCTATGAAAGGCGAACTGAAAACACACGCAAAGGAGAAAATTTTCAGGAAGATATCTACAAAAGACGGAAATAGGTTATGATTCGGAGTCCAATTTTCAACTGTGTAAATCGGACATACGACCCCACCGCCCCAGCTCGCTTCTCTTCAAGATCTCAAAGCTTTCTAACACACATGGTGTCACACTGTCTTCAACTCAAGGTTTATCACGTTACTGGGATGCGGTCGAACTGGACCACATGGGCGGTTCACGAATGGTGACAAAAGGCCTCAACGTGTGTTATAGACCCGAACAAGGACAGACTATGAGAGACAAGCGATAACCAACATATTGACGAGAATATTTGCCAGTAAAACTGTATTGTATGGTATTGACATACTCTCCTCATGACATGCATGCGCGCGTTCCAAACGGTATACAATTAACCGTTTAGAAGTCCGCCGTTGGAATATCAATTCACGGTAATACAGTTATGAATTGCCTTACCTATTGAACGCAAAATAACCGGAGAAACCCGGATCGGTTGTTTTTGCAATAGGCAAACCGCCATTTTAGATAGCGGTTAAGCACAGGTTAGCACAAATTGTTCTTCTAGTGACACTCCCCGTTGAACTATCTGTTGTAAACTAAACCAGTCCGATGCAAAGAATTCATTCATAATGCCCGGGTCCCATTTTTGTCTATGTCAAATGGGACTTCGTTTCCATGGTAGCATTGAGAACACGTATTAGAAAAAGAACAATTGTTTTCATACTTCTTCCCATCATATAAAGGAATAGACATTTCAAACGGCAAAACACAAGCAGTAGAACTCGCCCCTTTACCGTCTCCCGCTGTTGCATTCTTTTGCCGATTATCTATTGTTCTATCTTCCCTTGTTAATATCTGATATCAATCAAACGTTAGATAGCAATCAGAAACTCTTATTTGGATTCCTATGTTAAAACAATAAATGCGAATCATTAAAAACAATTGTTCGTATTCATACATGTGTTCTCAATAAGCTTAATTTATCATTGAGTTTCAGTCATAGGCATGTGTTTNCATGTGTTTAACTATGGATAACAGTTGATGAACTTTACTCGTACGGTGATCAAAACTATTTGTCCTGCATTCGTACCGGCTGCCTGATTAAAGATCACTTTGCCTGATATCACTTGTTCACTCCTATGTACGCACACATCTGCATTTGATAATCAATCGTGTTATTATGCGCTTTGGTCGTTGTTTTTTATTGGTTCCGGACCGATCGATCGATTCGACCAGAAAGCGTTGGGAATTTTACCTAAACTGGAGCTTGATGGGGGGTGTGTGGGAAATTCGCATTTAATTTCGAATTGATCATGCGTATTTTGTGCCTTTCGGGATGGACTAACACCAAACCATAAAACTGAGCTGACAGCCAGAATGTGTAGCTGTCAGTACCTTATTTATGAAACTGGAGGTTAGTAATACTAACAAACCCACAGTTGTATGTACTAGGTGCTTCCAGCATTTGAAAACTTCACAGAAAGCCTAATTATAACTGAACAGAGAGATCAATCTCTCTTTGAAAGAGTATATCTCAACTGAAAGCTTCTCATCAAATCCTGACCCCCATACNAACGAGAACGTGTACAGTTATTGATCTTATCGACTGGGGAGGACACGGGCATTGGAGTCGAGGCCGAATATCTACCGACGTCAATATTCCGGTAAATTCTCGTGATCTAGCGATGAAGAGAAAACGAGAAGCCAAATTTATGTTTTTTTCAACCGTGATCTGACGGAATAAACAGCAGTTCCTTCTAGATTCCAGTTTGTTAAGCTGTGAATCCCGTTTCCCGTCCCAATCCATCGAATAATGGTGAAATGAGTAAGCGTTTGTGTTTCTGTCTTTTTACTTCCTTTTTTATTTATTGAATATACAAATGTACAGTCAACATTCAGGAAAAGGGGCCGCGGTCATACAAAGGCTGTCTGGGAAGAAGGGCGGCGGTGGAGCGGTTTGAACCCGGGACTCACAAGTCACAAGTTGGTGACCTAACCACTTGGCTACCACCGCCAAGCGTGAGGAAGAGTGAATTATTGAAGCGTGAAAAATGTGAGTAGATGATCAAACATTCCCGTTTACTATAGTCAACCGTATCCTACGAAGTCTTTAATTGTCAGAGTCGAAGTTTTATTATGAAAATTAATTACAAGCTCATGCATCTCTTGTCCCTATAGGATGTTTACGCAATTGAATCGTTGCTCGGCGAAAAAAGTTCCGGATAGGAGAAAACAGATGATGTAGTCCTCAACAAATTTGCGTTTTTTTTAGTTCTGTAGAAATGCGAGGTGTGCCAGGGTTAACTGAAGTCTCCGTTTGAAAGATTCAATAGTTGGTGCACAAACGATGTGAGATGGATGGATGTTCCAAATACTGCACACTGACTGCAAAAGATTGACATCATTGTTACATTAACTGAAACAAGCCTTTCCCGAGATTAATTCCAAAAGAAAAGACCATATTGCAATAATGCACGATTTATGCCCAGGACGATTTCGCTGCATCTCAACATGGTTCATACTGCAGAAAATACAATGTTCATATAGGGCTTTAGCATAGCAACAAAGTAAAGCAAAATACATTAAAACAGACAAAACACAAAAGAAGGTAGGGAAAGACTAACATAAAGTTCGTTTTGCTGACACAGGGGGGGAGGCTTCCATCGATTAATCGCAATCGCTTCAGCAAACCTTAGCAATCTTGTGACTTGTAGACAATTCGAAACGCTGTGCCTCAACCGACCTGGTGTTGCGTCATCAGCAGATGTCGAGCAATTGCTGAGGGTCTTGTAGTTTCGACCGTCGTTTCTATGCAGCGGAATTGACCTCAATTGGGTCAGCTGATTGTGGACCCAATTCGGAATATTTTCCACCACCCGATTGCGTAATTGTCGCTCTGTTCGGCCCACGTAGGTTGCTCCGCAACCCCATTGGAATTGGTAGATTAGATTAGACATACCTGTGTAAGTTGGATGGGTAAATTCGAATGTGAAAAGATCAGTTCTATCGGTGTGGCCTCGTAGCTCAGCTGGTAGAGCATGCGCGTACAAAGCGTAGGCGGCGTCCATACGTGGGTTCGAATCCCACCGAGGCAACTTAACTTTTCACAATCGACATACAGATTAGATTAGAGTTGGCGTACAGAGGTAGACGTTCTTTTGCCGGGGGTGTGGGTATCCTGGTTGTCCGGTAAACGATTTGGGGGTCGGCTGCGTAGTAGGTTCGAGCGATTGCTTACCTCAGTCGTTTGTAGAGCAGGCGGCTTACGTCATCATCTTTGAATTGAAGGTTCAATGTGACCCGCAATTTGGGAACTGACGCAATTAGTTATTTTGCAATTTTC